GCCCGCCCCCCTTCCCTTTATTCCCCATCTTGATTGGTGGCCCTATTCGGCCCTATTCGGCTCCATTGGGCCGGGCCTGTGTTTACGTCCTTACTGCGGCCGACCACGCACCGCCGCGAGCCCTGCGTGGCAACGCGTCGCCCCGCGCACCTGACAGGGGCGGGGGCGGGGCGGGGGCGGAGTGACACGAGACAGACGCTTGGCCAAAGCAAACAACCCATTGCAACAGATGCATTGCGCATTTGGATTGGTGCTGGGGGAGGGGGGGGGGGTAGATCACACTAAACCAAAACCAAACTTCTCCCCTCTACAAAGAAGACGACCGCGTGCTTGTAAGGGGATGCGGAGGGACGGGATACCCCACTTCAAGCGGTGGCTGGTGCGAACGTGCAAAAGGAAAAGGGTGTGGAAGCAACGTGAGGCACCAACCGATATATATACGCCGGGATTATGCCGATATGCATGCAGGGATTTAGCGGTTATTCCTCCTGGGGCTGGGGGCCCAGAGGGCACGGGGTGGGGGGCATGGCCATGTTGTGGTCACACGTCATGGTGCCATGGTCAGAGAGGTGATACTGTAGGCATCCCGCCTGCATGCGTGCTTGGATGGATGGCTAAGGCGCATGCACCCAAGCAGAATATAAAACTGCAGACATTTGGGGAGGGGGACCAAACGGTATAAGACTACAAAACTGTTGTCTTGTATTCAGTTCTTTTCCAGTGTGGCGATAGTGCGTGTGTGCGTTGCAGGTGCAACGGCCCCGAGGCGAGGCGGGCCAATCGAGGGCCAATACGGGCTGGGCCTGGCTGGGCCCGGCTGGGCCAGGAGAAAGCGCAGCCGCTGTCACATGTCTCCCTCGCACTTACTATCGGCTGCCCGTCACACGTCTCCTTCTCACACCTCTCTAGCGCTGGCGGTAGGACCGGGTTGCGGGAGACGCACTGCCAAGACCTCTCGCGGCCGCAACCAACGCGCTGAGCTACAATATCCGTTCGAACACTCACCAGTATACCTGACTCAGGTAATGAGTCACTTGGAGTGTCAAACACAATAACCCGCGAGCAGCGAGTCTGCACCGGAGGCGGATC